GTTGGAGAGTTCTTCTCTGTGGCAACTGATAGCCCAAGAGAAAAGAGCTTTAGATACGTTTAAATGGATACACCTTAATGAAACAACTGTGTTTTTTTCTACCCGTTCTAAAGGGAAGTTCACCTTTCATTAATTCAACACATACTTAGTTCGACTGTGTATTAGGCACTGTTTTAGGCAATTGTGGTGGTGAGCAAAACAGATGCGCTCACTAGGAACTTGCATTTTAGTGCTGGAGAAAGACAAAGCACAGACTAAGAAGATATAGACAGTATCAGGCGTGAGAGGAATCACAAAGGAAAACAAACGAGGGTGAGCTAGGGAAAGTGACAGGTGTGCGGTGTTTACAGTTAACTGGGTGGTCAGGGAGGGCCTCTGGAGGAGGTAATGTATGTCACCAAACCCCAACCAGAGAGTTTACAAACAGTTTTTTGTGTTTTACATTTAATTATTAATGGATAGAAATCAAAACGAAAAATAAAAACTCAGGAAAAAAATCATGAACAATGTAGAGATCAGAAGAAAACATTTTAAGCAATAAGTAAAATTAATACCTTCGGTGAGATGAGAAAGTATCATGCCAAACATTTTGAAACCGTAAATAAAATGGACAAATTCTTAGAAAGGGATAACTCATCAGAACTAATTCAAGAATAAATTTAAAAAATGTGTACAATCTTATAACCATTTGAAAAATGGAAGCAAACACAAAGTAAATACCAGGCTCAGATGATTATACAGGTGAAAGACAGATCATTCTAATATTATGCAGACTTTTCTTAGACAATAGGAAAGAGGAAATAGTATCCAATTCGTTTTTAAGCCAGCATAATCCTGATGCTAAAACCAGAGAAAAATATTACAAGACTATAACAGACTCATGTCGTTAATGAATGGAAATGTAACAATCCCGACAAAATCCAATAGTGTCTGCAAAAAGATAACACCCCAACCAAATTTGGTTTATACTAGTAATATAAGGATTGTTCAATGTTTCAAAGATCTATAAATGTAATTCATCAATTCATTAATAAAGTAAATCATATAATAATCTCAACAAATGCAGAAGCATGTAATAAAGTTAAATACCTATTCACGATAAAAATTATTTGTAAATTATAAATAGAAGGGAATATCATTACTTACAAAGAGAAACATTAAAAATAACATAAAATTAACATCATCCTAATTGGGGAAATATTAGAAGCATTCCATTTAATATGAGAAATAAACTAAGGATCGATTCCAACTATCATTTTGAATCCTCAATGTATTAGCGTACCTTACCCAGTGCAGTAATAAAAAAAACAAAACCCAGAGGCATGAGGGCTGGGAAGGGAAAAATAAAGTTGCAATTTTTTTGGTAGATGATATTGTTTCAAAATTTCAAAGAATATACCCTCAACTTTATTAGAGATAATAGGAGAGTACAGAAATAATAGGAGTGACAATAACAAAGTGATTGAATATAAGACTACTATACAAAGTTGCATTTCTGTTCACCAGCAGCAAATGAGGAAGCATTATTAAAAATAATTTAAAATAAAACCAGAATATCAAATACCTAGAAATAAATATAATAAGAAGTGTATATTATCTATACATGAAAAATTACAAAAACCTTAAGAAATATTCAATAAAATCTAAATAAAGAACAGATGGGCTGTGGTCATGAATCAAAAGATTAATACTGTGAAAATGTAGTTCTCCCCTAAATTGATCTATAGATTCAATGCAATTCCAGTCAAAATCCTAAGAGAATATTTTCTGAACTTGATGAGATGATTTAAAATTTATATGGAAGAACAAAAAAGCAAGAACAGGCAGTGTGTTTCTGAAGAAAAAGGGTAAGAAGAGGGACTTGCCTGTCCAGATATCAGGGTTCATTTTGAACCTCTAGTAATTAAGGCTGACTGGTATTGATGCAGGGATAGAAACACTAATCAATGAAGCAGAACATATTCCCATTAATGTCTGCTACACATAGAAGTGATCAAACCAGTGAGTAGAAAAGGGATTGTTTAATGAATATGATGATAAAATGGTCATGTATATAGAAAAAGATAAAATTAGATTTCTCCTCATACCACATCAAGAAACCAACTCCTGATTTATTACAGACTGTAAAAAAAAATCAACTCTTGGTAAGACATCTAGGTTAATGTCTTTTGGACCTTGGAGTAGAAGAAAATTTTTTTATATAAGACACGGAAAACCATTGGCTCTAAAAAAAAAGTTTGATAAAAATTTACTATATTAAAACTAAGAACTTGTTATAAAAGACACACTGAAGAAATGATTAAAAACAAGCTATAATGTGGGAGATGATTCTTGCAAAACATACAATGTATTAAGGATTAGATCATGACTACACAACTTTGATAAATCAATTTGAAAAAGCACAGAGAATCCAATAAGACACAAATAGACATTTCACAGAAGAGGAAACAAAGATGACTAATAAATACAATACAATATCATATTATTCTCATTCAATTAACAAATATTTAAGAGAAATGGGCAATATCAAGTATTAGAAAGGTTATGGATCTTAACCACAGAATCTCTGAAACATTGCTCACACGCATGAAGCTTGTTACAACCACTTTGGAAAACAGATTGGCATTATCTTCTAAATGTGAGCATTCATGTATTTTCCTAGTAATTCCATTCCTAGGCATATACCAAAGAGAAATTCTTGCACACAGACAGCAAAAGACACGCACAAGCACATTTATGAGCAGCACTGTTAACGAGGGCAAAACCTTCAGAACAACCCAATGCCCATCATCAGAAGACTGGCAAAAGAAATTGATTATATTCACAGTGGAATATGACATAGCAGTCAAAACACAGACCAGCAAAAAGAAAAATGGGGCAATTTTAAATTCAGGACAAACAATATAATTGCTCAAGTAATCATAGTTTACCACATGGTTCAGTATGAATAATATATGGCCTTAATAATGTAAATATTGAATAGTTATTTGACCCCCAAATTGTGAAATAACTATGAAGAGAGAGCAGGGTTTGATACACATACAGATGTCTGTGAAAAGGCTGTAAAAGAGAGTTAAATCCCAAATTTCTACAGTAGGTGTTCAAAACATGGCTACTTAGAAGTAAACACTAAGAAGATAAGCATTTTACTTAGAGATATACCAGAAGAAACAGCCAAAGAATTAAATATTTCTGGAGAGTGGGACAAGAATAGAGAGGGATGGGATAGGAGACTTACTTTTATGTTATATACGTACCTTGCCATTTTTATTAATTCTATTTCACTTTCACAGCCATATATATATATATATATACACACACACACACACACACATACATATATACATATATACATATGTGTGTGTGTGTGTATATGTGTGTGTGTATATATATACACATATATATAAATATATATATATATGAATACATGTGTGGGTATACATAGCTATCTATATTTATAACAAAAATCTCCCATTTGGACCGGATAGATATGACATTGCTGAGCAGGGAAAGGGAGTTTGTAGAAGAAAACTTTTTGGCACTTTGGGAAACATTAGAGAGCAGTAGCAGAAATCTGTAAGACTATATTGTCCAATCCCCTCATTTCATGACAATGAAACTGAGGCATGATAAAACTGGTGCCCAGGTCAGAGCCTTCCTGCTGCACCCGCTGTGGGGACAGGCACTTCTCCAGCAGAGGGAAAGGCTGGCCTTCCCGGTCGGGTGACACATGCAGAGCGCGAGGGAGCTGACAAGCAGCTCCTGTCTTGACAAGCTAAGTCACCTGCGGTGACCCTACGTATATATATATGAACTCAGTGTGCGTGCTTTCTGATTTTTGCTGATTTAGATGAATAGCTAAGGATCAGACTGAAGTACAAGGCGTACTGAAAGCCAGAGAGATATAAATAGACATTAAAGTGTCTAATTCCCCAGGCCTCACATGAAGGGGAGAGTGGAAATCTATTGGGTGAATGAGTTTATAAATGCTATCCTGTGTCTCCCACACCTGACTTAACGTGGTAAATATACCCAGTATTTATATAGAGCCCAAAGGGCGACACAGCCATCCTGACCAGAAATAGACATCTGGGGAGGCATCAAGGAATGCTGATGGGTCTTGAGTTACTACCCTCTTTATTACTGCAAAGTTCTATGTGTTTTAATCACTTGGAATACCTATATTCATAACAGTTAGTTTTTCAGATTGTCTATACCCTCACTAAACAGAGTGTGACCTACGGACGGGCAGCCTGAACATTAGCTGGGAACTTGTTAGAAATACAGCATCTTGAGCCCCACCAGACCTAATGACTCAGCATCAGCACCAGGTGTTTTACATGCACATTAAAATCTGAGAAGCTGTGGTTGACAGTCTTATCTTCCAGGTAAAATTATAATTTTAATATATTTTAATTGGAATTGGAAGCTATGCAAATAGCCAAAGATATCCTGAAATATCAATAAATGAGCAATAATATCTGGAGATAAATAAGATTAAAAACAAAACAAAACACCTGGAGGACAGGTTAAGTTGTGTCATAAACACGGAACGATTGAAGTGGGAACTGTATCTCTCTGTTACGGTATTCACTGCAATCAAACGCAAGAGGGGGTGATGCTGGATGCTTTGGGACTGCTTAATGGAAAAGCTGGTGGTCTGCCACACTTCTCTAAGTGTCAGCCAGCTTGCTTTGGAGTGTGTCTTGATTCCCCCATCACAGTGCAAAATCAGTACTGTGTCTAGAAAAAAATGAAATATATGAAGAAGTCTGACCTCAAGTGGCTGGGCAAATGGGCCAAGAAAACCCCAAAACTAAAACCCAAAAAACAAACCCAACAAATGAGGAGAGATCTGTCCAGAATCCAAATAAAGTTGATAGTATTATGAAAAAAAAAAATACTCCAGGACTTAAAGGATATCTTTTATTAAATGTGTAGTCAGATGACAAAACCCATTAGGTACACATATCAGAGAATCAATTCCAAAGAACACTCACCGAGAGGAAAGGCTTGGCTTCCCGCTTTTGCTGCAGCTGGTATAAATTCCTGGGCCATCATCAAAGAAGCTCCCGAGTGCCAACTTCTGTCGGATAGATTCTCTCTCATTTTTCTGTGCCTAAAATTTCAGAAAAATAAAAAATGCCGATAAGCGGGCAGATACATCACAATCATAGGCAGTCTAATTGCTAAATTTCTTAGAACTGTAACATTAGATGAAAAATAAATGCATAGGCCACAGCAAAGAATATCTGAATTATTAAGAGCTGGAATTAAACCAGTCTCTCTTGGTTCTGCCTCTGCGAGCAATTTCAATTCTTCGAGCCCTTTATGATGGCCAGTCTAGGAAACCACCATTGTGGTAACTAAACGATCTTCACTAGCATAGAACTAGACTTCCTGGAGCTGTAATCTTGTTAGATATGACAGAGTAAAGCTGTGGAGGGTGAGCATTTTGTCCTAAACCAAACTGCTTCAACCCCAAATATAACCTGTCCCTAGGTCCTGTCTTCTCTCTTCCTTCTATCATCCCTTCAGCCTATTTTCTCTATGGCAAGAACATTAATTCGTTCAACCAGCATGCACTGAACCTTCGGAGGTGGCAGGTGCCACACTGTGACGTGGGAACAGAGCCCTGGACAGATGGATATACCTCTGCTGCTGCCGCGCTCTCAGTCTTGATGGGGACCATTGTTTCTGTTCGAGAGTTACACTGATCTCACCAGGTTTCGAATATGAGATACTCTAACATATTGTGTGGAATAGCTGGAGAATTGTAATTGAACCCATCTGTTTTGTATTTTGAAGGGAAGTCAAGTTGGTGTGCACAGGAAAGGATCCGGCAAATGACACTACTGAGATAATCTGGGTATGTTTATAACACTTGGCTTCCCATAAAAGTCCCATAAAAACTCACCATGCTGAACTTTTAAACTCTTTAAACAACAGGAGAGAAGATCAGGAATGATTTCCTTAGTTAAAAATAAAACAACTACGAAAACAAACATCACGAGTTAGAAATTCTGGGGTGAGAATGGGATTTTGGTTTTCTGCTTTGCGGGATGACGAAGGCTGTGAATGACATCACTTCACGTTTTGAGCAGGGGCTCAAGCCTGTGCTGAGCAAGTGAGGTTTCGAAGCCCAGCTCTCGAGAAGCCCAGCTCTCGGGAGGGGGCGTCGCTCCAGAGGGCAGGATGGCCCCTGATCCTTCCAGTGGGAGGTTCTGGAGCTACACCTGCTGCCACCAGCACCCAGCAGTTACCGTGACCGGTCTGAGCCATCATCTCGCATCTCGGTGTCAGGAACTGCACAAGCTGCTGGAGGGGTGGGCTGAACACGGCTACATTTCACCCCCAAGCGGAGGGCCGTACACTACAGGTTAAGGCTGCTCTAAAATACGATGTCATTTCCGCAGTCACACGAGCTGCACTTGAAGAGCTCCACGGCCCCGGGCGGACGGCACAGAATCCCACGAGACAGCAGTGCCCCGAGCCGGCGTTCCCAATGCCCTTCTGCAGGCTCCTCGGAACGCCTGTGGGGCTTTGAAAGACCTCCCACTGCTTCTCAGCCTTCTGGCCAAGCCCATGTGTAAAACACACATCCTAGGCTCTAGGGCCAGATATGCAGTTTCAGTGGTTTGAGAAGTTCTGATTCAAGGAAAGCTCATCTCTCTACTCCTTTCCTCTAATATTTTTACATCCGTGGACACTATAAGCATTCTTCCAACTTTCACACTTAGCAATTGTCTGTCTGTCTATCTATCAATCATCTATCATCTATCCACCCTCCCATCAATGCCCCCATTTGGCATACACTAAGGGAACTGTGTCATCCTAGCAGATGGTATGTGTGTGTGTGTGTGAGATATAGTCATTTAAAGAAATATATATGTGGTCTTTGTTCACATTTCCTGACTTAAAGCTCCTAAAATTCTTGAAATTTCCTAAGTGATGAGAAGGATACCGGTGTCTATTGTCATGTGAACGACGTGGCTTTCGGAAAGCACCAAGGATGGGGGCTGGTTGCCAGGAGAACCAGCTATGTGACTAGATAGAGTTGGAACTTTCAGTATCTGCCTTCCCCGCCGCCCCCATCTCTGGGCATAGGGCTTGAGGAGTGTCTGGGTTGGTGAATGTGGGAGATGGGAGAGTGGGGCACCTACAAGGGCATTGAGGCTCTGTGCCCCTCCCCACACACCTTGCCCCACATCTCTCTTCACCTGACTGTTCCTGAGTCATATCCTTTTCTAGTAAACCAGTGATCTACTATGTAACATGTTCCTCTGAGTCCTGAGAGCCATTCTAGAAAATTAACTAAACCCAAGAAGGGGGTTGTGGGAACCTTTGATTTATAGCCAGTTGGTCAACAACCTGGACTTACAATTAGCATTCTGAGTTGGTGGGGGTCACTGGAACCTTCAATCTATATATCTGGCTGGTGACAAGCACAGGTAAGGGCCTGGGCTTGCAACCGGCATCTGTAGCGTGTGTGTTGGGGGGGAGGGGGCAGTCTTGTGGGACTGAACCCTTTACCTCTAGAATCAGATGCTATCTCTGGGCAGACAGTGTCAGAACCAAGTTGAATTCTTGGACACCCTGCTGGTGTCCAGAAGTGTGTGTTGGTGTGCAGGGAATTTAGTCACATTGGGATCGGAACCGGGCACCCACAAAGTGGAAGTACTTTTGCAGTTACAGCCGTGATGCTGAATCCATATGGTTTACGGGGCTGGCACAGCGCTGAGCCCTGCGAACGTAACCATGAGGCTGGAAGGGGAAGTCAGAGGGCCTCTAATTTCATTAAGCACGGTGACTGCGCTGCTGGGAGCCTGGAGGAGAGAAACCGCCCTTCTACACATGCAGGGCTGGGACTCGGGCAACCCTGCCAAAACAGGACCCATCACGTGACATCTTTCTTTAAAATAAATTCACTTCAAAACCCCCAAATCTGCCATGCAGATCGCATGTAGTCAGTGAACGTATTTCTCAATCCATACAATAGATAAAAGAGAGTCTCCCTCAATGTCCTCAAAGGCAAAAAACTGTTGAATGGAATTGAATACTGAAATATAAAATCGGCAGATAACAGGACCTTTCGACAACTCCGGTGTCCAACACTAGCCTGGGGTCTGGAAGAGGTTTATTTACAGCAGAAACCTATCCCAGGTGCGAATGTGGGTGCACACCCTCGATTTCCTGTCTACCTTTTCTGATTCACTTGGTACTCTAGAGCTACAGATATTGGAGAAGGCCTTAAAAATAATTCTATTTACATAAATAACAACTTTCTACACCGAAATACTTCATTAACAGTTTGTAGAGGACTGTTCTATAACACACAATCTTTCCCCTTCTCTCTCCCTCTAGATCCCATTGAACACATCCAGAAAAGTATAAAGAATATAAATGTCACCCCCAACCCCACCACTTAGACACTGCTAACATGTCAGTATATTTCTTTCTAGTTCTTAAGTTTATGTGTGTATCTTTTTTCTTTTTATAAAACTGAGATCATATTGTTTATTGTATTTTGAGAATTTTCCTCAACAGCATTTAAAATCCTTTAAAAACAAGTGTTAAGGGCTGTCTATCCTTCTAGCCTATGTAGGCTGCATCCAATTAAACGCAACATAAGTTAGCATTTTTACATAAATCCCTGCCCAAATGTCTGCTGTTTCCTCAGGATGAGTTCCTGGAAGTGGAGGCCAGATCGCTGGGCGCGAGCATTTGCTGAGGCCCCCGGCACACTGTCACGCTGCCCTGGAGGAGGCTGCTCCCCACATGCCCACAGCAACGTGAAGGGCACAGCTTTCTCTGCATCCTGGCTAGGGTTGCTATTGTCACTTAAAAACTGCTGTCATTTTCAGTTTGCGAGGCAAAAAGTAGTGTTCTTTTCATTTTAATTCTTTTACCAGTGAGATTAAATACTCAAATATTTTTAGCTACTCTACTTGCTTTTCTCTGAAATAAACTTTGCTTATTCTTCTATAAAGATCTGAGAGTTTTGAAAATTGTATATGAAGGGTATTTGTCTTTTTGAGTTTTAAGTGTAACCGTTATGCAGTTTAAGTCTACGGCTTGCTTCCTTGGTCTTGTCTTGGATGGTTTTGTGCTTGGAAAGCCCTTCCCAGCCCAGAGGTAAAGGGTCTCGCCTGACACGGGGGTTTAAACAAGCGCATTTATGGAGCCACCTCAGCAGCAGTGCCTCCCCCTGCTGATGTACATCTTCCATAATGGCAGCTACTGCGGTTAACCCTCGAATTCCTGCTTGGAAGGTGAGAAGACGGAGGGTGATGGCAGGTCACCCTGCTGATCTGCAGGAGCTGGGACTCGAGCCCATCTTCCTGGGGCTACATCTTCCTGCTCTTCCCACTGACCGGTGAGGCGTCCTGGCCAACGAGGGTGCTCACCATGCTGGGGTAGAATGTGAGCACTGAACAGCTGGGAGCGCGTCTTCCCTGAGGTGCTGTGCTACTTTCTCAGGAAGGGAGAAAGCCCTGGGCTGCAAGCACAGACCGCGGCCGAATCGTAAGCACAGACATCTACGCGCAAACCCCTTCTCCTCTGGGCCGGGCTCCACACCGCTGCTCCCTCTTCCTTTTGGAACACGTGGGATTCCCAACACTTCCGGTAATTATGACTCAACTGCCTAGTAAATAGTTCTTCTCTTGACATTCACCAACTGGAACCGAATTTCCTTCTGGTCGCCCCTTGTGTGTAAAGAGTGTGTGTGTGTGTGCACGCACACGCGTGTGCGCATGTGGTTTCAAAGTTCTTTTGTTCTCTGAGGAATTATACCTGCAGGACAATTATATCCTCTACCCCCATCCCCCACCCCCCAAGCCCAAAGGTATACAGGCAATGGGAAAGGCTGACTCCAAACTACACTGCTTGGCTGTGTTTATGACGAGGGGAGCCCCGTCCACTCCTAAAACAGCCTTGGGAAATACCCTCACAAAAGTAAAACATCTGAAGTTGATATATCCAGAAAAAGCAAAAGGGCAACTGAGGAATTGTGGCTCATCACCACAAGACAGAAAAGCTATTCAAGACCAAGATGAGAGCAAAAACGTGTGTAGAAAGGCAGTTTTTGTCCTCACCTGTCGCTGAATTCCCTGCTTC